TGTGGGCACAGAGGGCACAATCAGGCCGCAATGGCAGCCTCCCACCCAGGTGGGCTGCTCAGGAAGCTGGGCAGCCCCTGACACCCAGCGCTCCGAGGAAGGCCTCGGGGACCCAACCCCACGGCAGCGTCACTCTCACGAAGCTCCAGGCTCCCCAGAGGATCTAATTCCCAATTAATTTGGAAAATAAATAAAAGCATCAGGTCCCAACAGCTTGTCTTCTGCTCCCGAACAAACCACAAGGAAGGAGTGGAGGGCGGGGGACGTGCTGCTCAGGTCTGCCCTGACTGCTGCGTGGCCCTGGACAGTGGCCTCCTCATCTGGAAATGGGGAAAACAGTGTGCCTTCCCCGAAGGTTTGGCGTAAAGACTCTGGGGACTATGGAGTAAGGATGGGGGCAGCGCCTGCCAGGGGGTGCTCGGCGGGGACACTGAGTGGAGGGAGGGAAGCATGGTCAGCAGCATGAAGCCACGCAGAGGTCAGCAGGTGCCAGATGCCTGCACAGCTCCTGACAGAGTGCTGGGCCTGGCCCCTGAGGACTCTACCTGAATTCTGGACATCACAGCTCTGGTGATTCCAGGCTCGCCACCCACCCTGGCGGCTTTTCCTGCAGGAAAAGGAGAAAAGGAGGCTCAAATGTATACTAAATACAGAAGCTGCAGAACAAGCAGGGAGACGTATGTAACAAACACATCTGGCCAAAATGGAAAAACCTAAAAGCCAAATGAGCTTCCCAAGGCTATGATTTGTTTCACTTTCAGTCCCAAACCAGCTCACAGCAACGGCACTTTCCAAGCCACACAGAGGCTGAGATTATTCAACAAACGCACCAGAACTTGCCTCCCCAGGACTGGAAAGAAACTGTCAGACTGCGGCGGTCAGACCAGAGCTGCTCCTTCCACGCAGTCCCCCTCCTGGACCCACCCCTGCACCCCATGGTCAGCCTGCCTCCCACAGCACTGTCCACAGGGGGCTGGCTGCTCCAGGACCCAGCTCAGGGGATATCCCAAGGAGAGGCCACTCCACTGTGGACAAACAATGCAGTAAAAAAACACAAGTGTCCATCCAGATGAATGGACAGACAGGATGTGGTCTGTACACACAATGAGGTGATCAGCCTTAAAAAGGAATAAAATTCTGACACTCAACACAGATGAACCCTGAGAAACATCACGATCAGTGACATCAGCCAGTCACAAAAGGCCAAGTACTGGGAGTCCCCTTGGAGGAGGTAGTTACAGTCATCACATTCACAGACAGAAAGTGGAACGAGGGGTGTACGGGGCTTGGGGAGTGACTCTTCATATTTACAGTTTCATTTTCAGGTAACCAAAATATTTGAAAATAGTGGTGCTGGTTGCATAACCCTATAAATGTACTTAATGCCACTAATAAAAAATAACACGCTTAAAAATAAACTTAAAAGACTAAATGACTGTAACAACTCTCCGATTAGCACCAAAAACACTCTCTGTAAAATAATGGTTCGCTATAGTTTAAAGCCTTCAGATTTGCACATCACGAATGGGTTAATAAATACCTTATTAATGTGAAAAATGAAGCCAATAAGGACTTGAATTAAACTTGAAAACACTGAAGGAAAAGAGCACACGGGGCAGTGAGGGGTGCTGGGGGCTTCGGCTTTGAATCAGAGTCTGAGAAAAGCCAGGAGGGAGGAGCGGAGAGGAGCACCTGCGACTCCAGAGTCCAGGAAACCTCCAGCTGCAGCAAGGCGGACGCCATCGGAGGAATGGCCTTGCAGCCTCCCTGCCTGATAATCCAGCCCTGTCTACTTCACACGCTTTGAATTCTCTGGATCAAAGGGATTTAAATAAATGAAAAAATACCAAAGTTTAGAAAAGCCATCCTCATATTAAAGATTTTAAAAGAGAGAAAAATTAAGTGTGAAATTCACAGCAGAATGACCTGGTCCCACTGTTCCACCCTCCTGTGAACTGGACTGAAGACAAGCCCAGAAGCGCTGGGAGCTGTGGGGTCAGCAGGAGACTGGCAGTGCTCCTCGGGCACGTCCCCTCCGGGAAAGACGGAGGTATCAGCACACCAGCCGCAGGCGCCAGTACCTTTCCTGAGGTGCTGCCTCCGGAGGGAGTTGATCAGGGAGGACTTGCCCACGTTGGGGACCCCGATGACCATGATGCAGTACTCCAGGTTCTGTGGAGGCAGAGAGAGGGGTCACAGGGGCCACCCTGGCCGCTAGAGTCTGAGATTCTCCAACCCCACCCAGGCAAGGGGACCCCAGGCCAGGCCAGCTCAGGGAAGACGGGAGGTTTACGCAGAGGCTCTGCCCACCCAGTGGGGACGGCCTCAGCCCTTTCCACTGAAGAGAACGAGAGGACAAAGGAGGGGCCTCCCTGCCTGGGGCGCAGCACCTTCTCCTTGGAGGGGCCAAGCCGGAGGGGCTGGCCCATCCCGCGCCAGCCTCCCAGCCCCGGGTCCCACCAACCAACCTCTCCTCGGTGGTAGCGGGGGCTGCTCCCCATCAGCTCAGTGACCATCGGGATGATCTGCAACAAACACCCACTCACGGAGCCACCCCAGGTCGGACGTCTGTGCACCGACCCACTCCTGCCACCTCAGAACAGGATTAGGGATTCCAGGTCTCCACTTTCACACATCAGTTAGGAAAACAGAGACCTCGTATCTGGAATTCTACCCAACATTTCATAGGCAAACTGGGCATTGCCCTTCATCTGGAGGTAGCACACCCAAGTATCCGGTGCTGGGAAACTGGAGTTCTGTCCAGCTCAGACGTCAGACTAAGCTCTGGGGCCCGAGGACCACCTATGCCCGTCCCCTACCATCAAAACAAGCAGGGCAGACCCGGGGCTTCAGGGACAGCTGTGACTGTAACTACCTTCTAATGAAGAAGTACATCAAGCCAGAAAATTCTGCCACGTACAACTGGAAACATGAGCTACCTGAGTCTCCAAAAGACTCTGACCACCTACAACCCTGGAATGTGTTCACAGCCTGACCTCGTGCCCTCAGTACAGGGAGATGCACTTGCCCCAGGAGGTCACATTCATGTGTGGCAGCTAGAAACCAGTACCCAGGATCTTTTCCAAAGCTCTGCTTCTTACTAAAGCATAAAACAGTTTATAGTACTCCTCGAACCTACTGAAGCAGAAACGTCAGAGCACAGACAAAAAGCCTACCTGCTTGACATTTTCATCCTTTAAACAGTTGGTAAAAATGACATTTTTTAGGCCTTCTCCTTCTAAGCGTTGCATAATTTTCTGAAAGACACAAAACATTTCCATTTGACTTTTTCTATTGGAGTCTCGGCTCTGTCACCCAGGCTGGAGTGCAGTAGCACAATCTCGGCTCCCTGCAACCTCCACCTCCCCGGTTCAAGTGATTCTCATGCTTCAGCCTCCCAAGTAGCAGGGATTACAGGCATGCGCCACCACATCCAGTTAATTTTTGAATTCACTAGCCCTAACATGCAGTGAAACCAGTGCAAAGCTGTATCATATTTCTAAACATCAGTGTTGTTCATCAGTGGACCTAAAATATGACTGATGCTTAAATCAACAAGTCCTTCACCGATTCAGCTGGTTTTATTGAGCTGTCCATCAAGATGACATAGATGGAGAGATCAAGCACAAGACACACACCTGAAGCCACACACTCTGGGTAGCAAATGCACTCGGGTGTCCCTGCTCAGGGAGGTGGAAGGCAGGGCCACCCAGAGGCAAGTCAACCTCTCTCCCTGGATTCTTCAGAAGCACTGGCCTTTCTCTGACCAGGCGAGACACTGCTGTGCCCTGTACTACACGGCTACCCACCAGTCTACAAAAAGTTGCATTTCCAAAGGCAGAAGTAGCCACTGAAGTGATGTAGAAGTACCTAACTAGCGAAAGCACTTGTGATGATTTAAAAAGTAAAATAAAAAAAAAAACAGGCCAGGTGTGGTGATCCCAGCACTTTGGGAGGCTGAGGCTGGCAGATCACCTGAGGTCAGGAGTTTGAGACCAGCCTGGCCAACATGGCGAAACTTTGTCTCTACTAAAAATACAAAAATTAGCTGGGCATGGTGCCACACACCTGTAATCCCAGCTACTCGGGAGGCTGAGCCAGGAGAATCGCTTGAACCCAGGAGGTGGAGGCTGCAGTGAGCCAAGATCGCGCTATTTCACTCCAGCCTGGGCAACAACAGCAAAACTACATCTCAAAAAAAAAAAAAAAAAAGAAAGAAAGAAAGAAACCAGCCACTGTGCTATGAAGAAGTCCAGGACATAAAGAGGTCATATATAGGGTGCCTCAGCCTCAGCTAAGGTTTCAGGTAACAGCCATGTCAGTGAATAAGCCTTCAAATGATTCTAGCCTCCAGTCTTTGAGTCTTCCAGCTGAGGCCTGACACATAATGGAACAAAATTAAGCCTTTTTTGTGTGTCTGTGAATCTCTGACTCACGGAATCCCTGAG